TCCTCCTCCTCCTCTTCCTCCTCCTCCTCTTCCTCCTCATGGGCAGTTTACCCATTGACCCTGCGAGTAGACACCTGCCAATGTTATTTGAAACTTGGGGATTTTTCTTGATGATACCCTCCCTTGTCTCTGTGACCCATATCCCAGACTTCCCTCCCCCACTGGGTCCAGACTCAGAACCAAGACCTATGTCCCTGGTGCTGCCTCCTGGGCAAAGAGTGATCTCAAGTAGTGGCCCTCGTGTGACCTCACAACTCAGCGTCCTTCCTAAAGTTTCGGGAAGCAGGGTTGTCTGATACGCCTATTTCTTCTTTTGGTCATATTTTTACTTTAGTGTCACTCACCTTTGACAAAGTGACTTCGTACTCATTTAGGGCTTTGTCTGAAATGCTTCCATTTTGCCTTTTTCTACTGTTAGGCTGATTTTGAAATGTATGAACTTCTATGCAACACGTAAGCTGAGTTACTAATGGAAGCCAAAACTTCTCTTCCCAAACTGCCAAGAATTACACAGGCCAGCCATAAGTGAGATGGGGATAGCTTTTAATTTAAAGTCGGGGTTGGGGTGGGGCGGGACAAGAAATAAACCTTGCCTAGACCTTTGTCATAACCTTGGGGACATTTTTTATTTTCTTGTTTAATGCCTAAACCTCCAAATCAGTGTATTCAAATTTGGCTGGGGCAAATCTACTCCAAAAGGAAAAACAACCTAACTTCGTGGATATTAAATGGAAGGCTTGCTGTTTTGACCTAGTTGTTTCCAGTGGAGCAGTTTATGAAATATGTTGTATAAGATGTACATTTTTTCATTGTAACATAGAAATTGTAAATAATTGATTAAAGTGCTGCATTTTGATGAATTTTTTCTAGCCATTTTTAAAGAGAAAACTAGGAACCGAGTATTTTGTGTACGGTATGTTTCCATCTTCCCCTCCTCCTGCCGTCCTTCCCTATTTAATTTTCATTTTTCATGAGGTTTTTGGATTTGCCATTGGTCTGCTGGAGATCATGCCCCACGTCATAGAGAATAAAGCTGATGATTGTACCAGTCTTAAATTATTCATAATTCAATAAAATTGATGCTTATTTATTCAAATGAGCGGTTTGGCTTGTCTGTGCTAGAGCAGACCCCCCCCCCCCCCCCCCCCGCAGCCCAGCTGCATGCCAGAAGCGGCTCTCTTCTCGGCTCTCTTCTGGGGGGCGGAGAGCACAAAACATCTGCAAACCACTTTTCTCCCAGTGTGTCAGCAACATTTCCCTTCTTGGTTCCCCACCAAGGTTACCACAATGCATGTGGAGCGCATTAGAAATGCAGCGTGCAGACCCTGTCAAGATTTCTAAATCAGGGACATCTTGGGGAATCACTGGTGCTGATGCCGTAGGCCCAGGTGGCCCGCAAGATTCTCAGCTGATTGGTTTTTTTTTTCATTCAACATTATCTTTAGTTTTATTTATTTATGGGGTAGTGTGCTGATGCGTACCGCACATAATCAGCAAGTTCGGATAGCCAGCATTTGTGTGTCCTTAAACACTGATCGTTTCTTTGTGAGTTAGGAACCTTCCTTCTAGGTCTTCGCAAAGTAGGTGCCCACTGTGACCTGGAGTCACTACCTTGTCTCACACCACTAGTGTTACTGGACTGTTGGGTTGTGTCCCACAGTGACAAAAGAATGAAGCCGTGGATGGACGAGGTAGGCTGGCTGCCAGCAAATTTATTTATAAGATATAAAGGGAAGAAAGTAAAATAGATAAAGGCAAGGAAGTAAAGCTCCCACTAGCTGGGAGGGGGCTCTGGGTAGGATATTCCCACGAGGCCTCTGCCTAGGAGTTTTTAGTAGATTTAGAAAGGAGCTCAGGCTATTAGGTAAGCAGTATAGTCTCTATCCTGTAGGAGACTATAAGTCTTTGGGTCCAATCTATGCAATTTTCACAAGGTGCCTGTGCTGGGTCCATGTGTCCCTGAGCCAGTGGCCTACCCAATCCCACTCTGGCAGGTCCTAGGCACCTGAAGGACACCAGGCAGGTGTTTTTGTTGTTTTATTTTGGCAGAACCAGGGATTGAACGCAGGCCTTTGAGCTTGTCAGGCAAGTGCTTATTCTACTTAGCTATCTCTCCAGCCCTAGGCAGGTGTTTTGTAAGATCCCTGCAAGGGGACTCAGCAGACCCTGTGTTGGGGCTGTTGTCCTTACTGTAATAGAATCCTAGCTCCTGTCTCCCCAGCTACCGCTACACGAAGCATGCATGCTTCCTGTCCGTCTCAGTCCCCGCTCTCTGACCTCCTACACCTGCTTCCCACCACCTCCCCAGCCTCCAGTGGTCAGTGTTCTGCCCCCACCAACCTTGACACCAACTTGAACCTTTCACAGATGAGTGAGAACAAGCAGGCTTTCTCCCTCTGTATCCAGCTTCCGTGTTTCACTTAAGCTTCTCCTCTGTTACCACAGATGAGAGGGTTTCATTTTTCTTTCTAGCTGATAACCTTCCATTGAGTGTCCTTCTCTGTCCGTCTGTTGCTGGGCATCTTGTCTGACTCCACAATGAAGTGTCATGAATCGTGCTGCTGTAAACATGGGGTGTGGGAATCTCTTTGATCCAGTGATCTCATTTTCTCTGACCGTGCACCCGATAGGGGGATTCCTGGAGCATACCACAGTTATGTTTTCAATTTTTTAAGGAATGTCCATACTGTTTTCCAAAATACCGGCACTAATTTACTTTCCATCAACAATGTATAAGTTACCCTTTCTCCACATCCTTGCCAGCATTTGCTACTCTCTGTCATTTTGATGGTGGCCACTCCAGATTTTCTCAGGAGCTCCCAGCGCGGTGCTCCCTGGACCATCCTTGAAGTAGGAACCAAAGCCAGTGTCCGTCTGGCCCTTGTGTTGGCCCCTTAGCATTAAAGATTTTTCAAGGTATCACGTACCTGCTGGTTGTAGACACCGTCCCACATACTCCAACAGAAGCTGCAAGGCATCCTTCCTCATGCGCATTTTACAAGTGATAAAACCAGGCTCACAGCGAACAACTCCCCAGGAACTAAGGGAGAAGAGCTGGAATTGCAGTCCCTCTCAGTCCCCTGGCTCCCTGTCCTGCCTTAGCAGGGTTCCCCTCAATCTCGGAGGTCTCATCCCCCTTCATACCTACATCCAGAGCAGACACAGGAGTGGGGGATGATGTCACAGCCTAATGTGCACTTCAAGAGCAACTGCAAAATCTTGAAATGCTGAGAGTCAGTCCTGTGGATCCCACACAGCCAGCTCAACTGCCGGTGACACGAGCTGTCCCACCCAGTCTGATGCACAGGGGTGGCCTGGGGCATAGAGAACCAGATATTTAACACAAGCGGTTTTTAGCGCCCATTCAGGGGTGGTACGATGGTATTGGTACCACCAATACAAATGGATATCCTGAATCCCAAGATCCTCCACGTCGTATTCCATCCCATTGCTACATAATGTATTTTGACTTTCCTAAGAGACATGAAGGGCTTAATGGACAAGGATGACTTTAAAGAGAGGAGAAGAGACAAAAACCATAGGTTGAGGGTACTTACTGGTGTCAGCCTTTGTCCTGAGTTTTATTTTGTGACCAACAGCATCTCCCAGTAGATATTTGCTCCATCCTGTAAGGGGAAAAAATGTTAAATAATTTTGAGTCATGGTAAATGACAGGTAGTAGAAATGGAACTCTCCATTTATTTGATTCTACAACGTACACTCTTTCCGCTACACCAGGATGGACCCCACTAGGCTTGACTTTGAGGATAGGACTACGAGTCCCTTCTGTCTTTGTTATCTGTTGCTGTGTTAACAAATTTCCCCAGCACAACAAACATTTTCTCATACTTTCTATGGATCAAGATGCCAGCTGGGTTTGCTGGGTGCCCTGTCTGCCCTGGGGCTTTCTGCAAGACAACCATAGACATGTCTTAAATATTTATCAGGAATATTAAAAGTAACAGCTAGCCGGGCGTGGGGGTGCATGCTTGTAATCCCAGCACTCAGGAGGCTGAGGCAGGAGCATTGCTTTGAATTTGAGGCCAGCCTGGGCTTCAAAGTGAGTTCAAGGCCAGCGTGAAGTGAAGAGCGAGACTCTGTCTCTAAAGGAATAAATCAATAAATGCAGTAACCACAGAAAGCATCGCATTTCAGATCAGGTGACAGAGATGACTGCTCTTACCTTAACACAACAGTAGAGATATTTGTCAATGCAGAGACACAAGTGCAGTTATGGAAACAGAAATGGAGAAAGAAACCAAACTGCATTTACAGGTAACATTACAGGATATGCTCAGTTAGTCCAATAGAATTCAGACATATATTATAAGAAATAAGTAAGTTTAATAAGTTTTCACAATCAGTACACCAAAATCCACTGAATATCTGTGTGCAGCAAAATGGTAAAGAATTCATACAACACCAAGAATTCGTAGAACACCAAGAGCCGGCCAGATAGCTTGGCAGATTAAAGCGCCTGTTTAGGCAGATGTAGGGACCGGGGTTCGATCCATGGCATGCTGTGCCGGCCTCACCCCCGGGGCGCCCTGAAATGGTGATTGAGATTGGACGTGGTGGCCCAAACCTATATCACAGTGCTTGGGAGGCTGAAAGCACGAGGATCGTTGTGAGTCTGATCTATGTAGTGATACCCTGCAGACCCTGTACTAAATACATTTAAAAAATAATAATAAAAAAGAAAACTTGGGGCCGGGGAGATGGCTCAGTAGACTAAGTGCTTCCCTGGCAAAATCAAGGGCCTGAGTTCAATCTCCGGTCCCGCCCAAAAAAAAAAAAAAAGAATTTGTAGAATACCAATTTAAGGACAAAAATGTCAAATACTTAGGAATTACCCCAATAAAAGATGTGTGAGATCTCTACAGAGACAAGGCAT